ACATTGTTACACTCGACGGACTTTGTATTGATTTTATGTATAATAGTGTAACGGACCAAAATGAAACAATTCAAAAAAAAAAATTCATATGACACGTTAAGGAAACATATACTTACATGGGATATTATGTTCTGTCAGTGGAGGCTGTGGGGTCTGCTATTTCTGGGATGTGTTAGCTCGGTAGTTATATATATTCATGCCATAGGATTATTCTTTGATTTAACAAAAGCATATGATGTGATAATTCATGATATAATATTAGATAAATTATATTCATATTGCATAAGAGGTGAGTTGGACCTGTGTTTTAAGTTTTATTTGTCAGATCGATTCCAGTTTGTCGAGGTTGGGGACACAGATTGCAGTAATCTCCTTAGAAACTTCGTCATGTTTGAAAGTAGAGCACAGCGTGTGACAAGGGTCAGTCTTGGGCCGCTTTTATTTTTGCTGTATATAAATGATCTCACTGAAAATGTTCAAGGGGCAAAGTTTGTCTTATTTGCACATGATACTAATTTGTTAATTAGTGGATCAGATGAAGCTGACCCCCAACATAAAATAAAAAATGTGATGAGAGATTTAAATATAAGGTTTGAAAAAATAATCTTATAATAAATTTTGAAACATTTGCTATGTCATTTAATCCAAAACAAAAGCGGCCTCCGTAGTCTAGAGGTAACGTTCCCACCTCATGACTCGTAGTACGCGGGTTCAAATACCCGGCGGAGGTCGTCGAATTTTTAAGGGCAGAAAAATTCAGGGAACAACCCCTCCGGGAGGGACTTTAAGCCGTGGGTCCCGTGTCGTAGCTTTACGGCACGTAAAAGAACCTCATACATCCAAAGGAGGTCACTGAGCAAAATTTTGGACGTTTGCCACCCAACAGCAGTCACTAATACCTCCGGTAGATGGGGGAAGCATTATAGACACTTCTCAGCTAGTAGAGCCGGTCTCGCTGGCTGGGCGGGACTGATGGTAAGCACCAATACCGGCAGGATATAGAGGCTGGTAGAAATCATAGAGGGAAGGACAATGGACCACTACAGGTCTAAGTGCATAGGGAAACCCACCCTCTCTAATAACTAACTAACTAACTAACTAACCAACTAACTAATCCAAAACAAATGAGAATTCCGTTAAGACCACAAATAAATTTTAAAACTATAGAAATCCCCTATCGATCAGAACTGAGATTTTTATGTATTTACATCACAGAAAACGCAAAATGGGGCACCCACACTCAATTTTTAAGAGCTAAGCTATGCAAAGTAGTTTATATGATAAAAACATTAAAAGAAACTATGAGCCTGTATATAATAAGAAATATCTACTTTCCAAATTTGAGTCGTCTGTGGTATGGTATTATATTATGGGGGGGTGGATAACAGAAGTGACAAACTTTTTAAACTGCAAAAAAAGGTCCTTCAAATTATCAGTGGGGTTAATAATCTCGAATATCATGCTGACAAATTTTTAAAATTATAATATTTTAACACTGGCTGCACTATACATACTTGAAGTGATGTTATATTAAAAAATATAAGGACATTTAAATTTTGACATCAATAACTACAATACATGAAGAAAACTAAATTTACATGTAAATCATTGCAAAAAAGTTCTTTTTGAAAAAAAGCATGATAAATATGGGAATCACCTTGTATATTTATATATTTCGTCTCTATAGATCATTGTTACATGATATAGGGCAAGTCAGTTACTGTACATTGGCTGATTACAATAACAGAGTAAAGTTACAATACTTACGATTGTTTACAATCAATTACAATAGTTAGAGTTCGTATAGTGTGAGATGGAATCCATATTAGGTCCCCTTGGCACGTCAGATTCCATATGTCCTATTGTACTTATACCGGTCATTGAGAAGATAAAATTGAAGAAAAATTTTAACTCTTTTAAGAGGGACTTAAAATCCTTTCTGTTGAAACATACCATTTATTCCATTGATGAATTTATGTCCCTTCAGTTCTTAAGTGAGTATGTTATGGTTTTATGTTATGACAAATATCTTGTCCTCACTTAATTTATAAAAAAATTTTTGGAATTAAGGTTTCTTTTCATTACTGAATTGTTGCAAGTGGGATAACATATTGTATGATTGACGTGTATGAAATCTGTAGGTAGTTAAGTTTTGTACGTAATATAGTTGACTCATGTATGATATGTATGTTATATTATTATGTAGTTACTGACTTGTTCTATATCTGGACGTTGTATCACCAAATGTGGATTTGTGGAACAAATATAAATAAATAGATAAATATATATGGCAGTTTCAGGACACATATATTTGCATGGGGTATTACACCGTATCAGTGGAAGGTGTGGGGCTTACCATTTCTGCAGTGTGTTCATTTGGTTTTTATTACTTACATTAAGCAGGAAATGCCTGCCTTTGAAATAGTGTTACTAGTCCTCCAGCCTACACAACAACAAATCTCTGAAGACAGTAATCTACATACTTAAACTTCTAAGACAGAACAATACATTCAATATGCATTTGAATACATTGCAATTTCAATTACTTCTGAAACACATTAAGACGAAGTTGTCCTTGTGGTGAATTAATAAAGCACTGGGCCATGAAGAAGTAGGGGCCAATAAGGATAAACCTTCAGCATTCTTAACTTCATTACTAGATGAGGTGAGTGGTCAGCTTCATTCTCCAGCCTCCTCAGCCCAGCGGAAGTGCCATCAGTAGCAACTGGGTTGGAGGCTGGGTAGGACACCGGGCCAGTTGGGACACTGTGAGGTAGAGGCAGAACTATTGTCCCTGATGAGAACTGAACCCCAATCGTCCAGTATGTAGCCTGCTGTTTTACTAACAAAGTGATCCCAGCTCTGAAGTGAAACAGCATATTGTCACGTGCAGCCTCGTTACTCAGCAACAGCCACGAGACAGCTCATGGTATTGCTGCTGTCGCCAGGCAGTGGTGCGCAAACACATAGGAATGGTGATTTCTCCATCGCCTGCTAAGCAACAATTGAACAGCCACGGGGAAAAGGTACTTTCTGAGCGTTTCATGCTGATATATCATAAGTAGGGTAATTGAAGTATTGAGTTAAAACAGCAGGAGTGAGTGAGTGTGAGCGAACTCCAGAGTATTCACTCACCAGTAGAAGGGGGGTAACCAGTACTAGTCAGATCTCTCCTCTCTTCGAAAAGGGGGTCCCATTTCAAAATATGTAAAGTATGGAAAGAACAAAAATATGTTATATTTTAGTGTCCTGTTGCACTGATTATCATCCATTGTAAGTATACAGTGGCCGTCTTGCATACAATTTCACCTGTCACTTCACAACATGTTTCGGCAACACAGTGCCATCATCAGGTGTCCCAACTACGTCAATCTATTGCATTGCCTGCCTTCATATGTTTTCACCAACCATTTAAAACGTATTTAAAAAGTCCGTGTTTGTCAACTATGATAAATTTACACTCGCTAAAACTCGTTAAGATAACTCATATTATTTGTCTTAATTAAAACTTGTATGTGGTTCGTTCACTACTATGGGGTCGTTTTTCTTATTTTCTGTGTAAACCGCGTCTTGTGATGTGTGTTCCCTTCTTAGCTGCGAGTGTTGTAATCACTCGCAGCTAAGAAGGGCCTTTGGCCTACCAATACTGAAGCCATGAGCTAATTAAGGCAACGTATAAAACTACTGCATCAATGAAAAGAAAAATTCTATGTAACAGAAACAATAATACAAACCACAAGATAGGTAGATAGAGGGGACTTATTTTTAAAATTGGACGAAATCGATCGTCTTTCACTTTATCGTCCTCCATTTTCCTAATTCGCATCCACACTAAATACAATGCCTGTGATGCCTGTTACGTGCATACAGGTTAGTAATTCTACCCTCGAGGACTTCACACGTTCCACACCTTTCAACACCATCCTGCCCAGGGGCCCCATCCTGCCCATCCTGCCCGATCCTACCCACTCTGCCGATCCGATCATGCAGAACTCAAAAAACACACATACACACACACACACACACACACACACACA